ATAAAAATTTTTCTTACCGGTGTTATTGTCATTTCATTATTAGACATTACATTTATTATTGCAGCATGTTTTATAACTTGATCATTATCACACTGAAATTTAAGTTATACAAACTATATATAAAATTTCACAATTTTTGAAATGCAACATTTTTAATTTAAGCATAATAAATAAACAGAAAAAAACTTTCACATGATGAAGCACACTTTTCAAACGCATGCGTCAAAATATATAAACATGTCGTTATATTTTAAAAATATTTGATGGTTAAGAAAATTCAACATTAATAATCTTTTATATATATATATTTTTTAGATATAATTAAATACTTACTGCAGTTACTACTTTTCGACTAATAATGTTGTTACCTATTTGTAAATCCACTTTTTGCACTAAGTCATTATCTACACGAAGTATTTGTAACTTTTTCATTTCTCTGATTTATTAAATGTTTAGAAAATTATCCAAATATATCATATAAAATATTTTTCATAGTGGAAAATCAGTTACAAAATACAATTTTGTTGCAATATTAAAGGTACGTTACACGTATGTTAAAAAAAAATTAAAGACAAAAAACAAATCGAACATCATCATAGTTAGCTAAGCATATAACATTATGAAAAAATTTAATTATTTGTAATTTAAGTATATATATTATTTTTTCAAAAATAATTATATAATTTTGGGTAACTGAGAAAAGAAAAATACACAAGAATAATAACAATTAAATTTTTTTCATTTATAATTACAAAGAATATACATTTTTATAAATAAATCAAGTAAAATGCGAAAAAAATTAGAAATATTGTAAATTTATGTGTGAAAATATTTCATAAAAAAAGTCAACAAATAAGAAATTGATTATTTTTATGTGCATCTGTAGAAATGTAATCAGCCAAATTAATTAATCAATTTAATAAAATATTTCTTCGCACCGTTGTATTATTTATTGTATTAATAATAATATAAAATTGCAATTGCAAATTTTTTGCAGATATAAAGAAATCTTGTTCGCTTTATGCAACGAAAAACATTGAATAATATTAATTAGTATTTCAACAAATGAAAATTTTATGTTACAATAGAAAAAACTAAAATATATATATATATATTTGTTTACTAAAATATATATATATATTATTAAACGAAATTATTATATTACAATTAGACTGATTAATTAATCAATAAATTCAATTCTATTTTTGATCAATACTAATCAAAAATGAAATATACATGTTATTTATTATAAACTTCTTATTTTACTTATAATATAGGAACATTATACAAAATGTTTATTTTAATGTCATTATGGTTTTTTAGGCCGTATTAGCCGTATTTTTTGTATTAATCTTATGAGAAAATATTTCGAACAAAAATAAATCAATTTGCAAAAAATTGCAATAATAAAGTTCTAAAAAAATGTTTATTCAATAAAAAATCAAGATAATCTTGATTTTTTTAAGTAGCACCATATGTATTTTTGATTTTATAAAATTATAGTTGATGTTACGTTTTTGAATCAAATATTTTTTCATAAGATTAGCAATCTTGACGACAATTATGATAAACACTCTGTAGATTTCGAATTGAATAAATCAAATATCATTTGGCATTTACTAGACCAAATTTCCAATTGTTTTTGGCTTAATAATGCATATTGATATAAGAAATTTTCAATTAACAAATATAACTTTAAAATTAATTATTTATTTTATATGATTTATATATTTTATATGATGACATTAGCATAATTCTTACTTTCGTTATTCACAATTAAATAATTATATCAACATACGCACGTATCACAGGGAGTTCAAATGAAAAAAAGCGATATTATATTTATTTTTTTCTTTAAAAAGTAAATATCGAATAAAACTTTCAGATTCTAATTAACGCAATTAAAACTTGTCGACGATTTTTATTTCAAATATTGTTAATTAAAACTATAATGCTGTATTATTGTAAAATTGTATGTTATGTTATAATGTATGTTATTGTAAAATTTTGAGATTTATTAATTTAAAGTAATTTAAAGTTAAGAAAGTTATTATTTTCTTTTATATAAATATTAAAACATATCTTTCAAAACAAAATTATTTCTATTTGTTAATTATTTTTATCTATATAAAAACAGAATTCATTACCATATACACAATATGCATATATCTATATATATATTATAATTCAATTATCTATTAATTATAATCAATACAATGTAAAATACGAATATATGTACATAAAAATATTCTTTAAAATATTTTTAATCCTTTTATGAAAGAATTAAAAAAGTATTATATATATATTAATAATAATAATAACAATAAGACCAGTGTTTCTCAATGATTGAAACTATTTTATTATATGATAAATATTATATCATATGATAAATTAAATTTATCATATATTCTCATTAAATACTTATATGAATGTATACTATGATTGATATTATTGTCTAAGAAACACTAGCTTACAAAATCATATAGGTATTGATCAGCTTTATAATAATAAATAAACAAGTTTTAAAATTCTATAGTTATTATACGATTCTAGTTTATATTATATTTTATCGTTAAATAATGAATATTTTTTAAAAAATGCCCATATAAGGAATCAAAAAATGTATTATCATTTTCAAACTGTTTAAAAATTACAACAATACAAATCGTTTTTACATTCTGATTTTAATATATATAATATATTAAATAATTTCTTTAATTATTTATTTTTATAAAGTAATAAATAATAGCGCCATGTAGAATAGGCAATATGAAATACTGTCTATTATTAAAAGTATTATTTATTAACTAGTTAATAAGTTTATATTTATTTATTGTAGATAGACTTTTATCTGAGAACTATATAAAAATATCTATTTATTCGTTGTAAAAATGATTTATTATTATTTTGCAATAGATAGAAATGCATAGAATTTTATAAACTAAATTCAGAAATACTTATCTTACAATAAACTTTTTATAAAAACTTTTCATATGGAGGGATAATGAAATAGAAATCTAAAATAATATTATTATAGCATATTATTATAGCATAATATACAAGTTATTCTATAGTTTTTAATTAATTATTTATTATTAATGCTTCGTAGCTCTCAGATATAAAGTCGTCTTTTACATTATGTTTTTAACTAATTGTACATCAATGATGCACTATAAATTTCCAATAAAGCGAACAAGTTTCTCGGGAACAAATTCATATTTTAAAACAAATAAAAAATTCTTTTATTTAATTTATAATTTTATTAAAACAATTTAGTTAGCAATAATTCGGCTATATTTCTAAATTGCGTTAACAAGAAGTGAAATAGAAACATTAAGGAAGAAATATTATAGCATATTTTCAGTAAATATTTTTTAAAATTAACAATGTAAAAAAATAATATTTGTTGTAATTAAATTTTAAAAAATGATATAATATAAATTCTCTTTGTATTATATATTATCTAATTCATTTTTTTTCGAATATAATATAATTCGAAATAAAAGCAATAATTTTTAATAACAAATATGCAAATTAAAATAATACTTAAAATATTTTATATTTACATATTTTTCTGACTGATTACAATAATTGCACTGCTTGTTAATTTATCTTCCATAAGAAGCAAACTATTTCAAATCATGTTTTTAAATAATCAAATTAAATGTTGATAATATAAAAATTTTTAATAATATGTATATATATATATATATATACACACACACACATAAGCATTTAGTATTAACACCATTCAATTCAAATTTATTTTTCTAAGAGGATCTTATTGGAATGATTTAGTACAGTGTATAAGAGCAACATACATATGTATACATATATACATGTACACACAATTTACTTATTACTTTCGCTGAATTCTCTTATAAAATTTGTATAATATTATGAAATTTGAACATCTTTATTGTGTTAAAAAAAAATCGGAAAGGAAAGGCAATTGGTATTAAAAAAAAAAAATTTAAGCAATCAATTTTTAGATGCTTTGGAATTATCTATTTTTTTAAACAATACTGGAATAATTTTCACTTGGCCATACGTAATATAGATGTCGATAATGGGTATATGGTTGAAACTGCATTTTTGAAGATTGTAATGCACGCATTAATGGGATGTATTCTTCTTCGTGCTTTGAAAATGTATTAATATCTGGTTCTGGCTATACTATAGTACCTCCACTTTCTGCAGGACTGACAACGTGAAGAGCATTTCCAACCTGTCCTATTCCAGGCTGTAATTAAAAAATGCATAAAAATTCACTACCAAAAGTAATTTTATCTTTAAAAAAATTCTATAAATAATTGAAAGCATTTAAAACATAAATATAATTTCTATAAGTGCATTAAAGAATTGTGCAATAATAGCAATATAAAAATATAATCAATACTAGAACGAGCATATAAAAAAACATATTCTATTATTTTGTTCAATGAAGCAATGAACAAGTCAAGAAAACATTAAATTATTATATACACATATGTATACGTACCATGCGATAAATTCTGGGAAGATTCATCCATGATTCTCTTGCATCAGCCAAAGCATGGTACAGAACATTAATCTTTCCAATAAAAGTAAAAAATTAATGTCCCACCGGCTTAAGAAACAAGCACAAGCATCTTCTGATAAAATTATAAGACTGTCACTATAAAAGAAGCAATGCATACTATATGAAAATTATCACAAAAATTTTAACTAGTTAAACCACTATAACATAAAGGAACATAGGGTAATGATAGAAATGCTTTATGCAAAACGCCAGGAAACTGAATCGGATATTTTAAATTAACATATAATATTTTAAAATAACATTTTTTTACAAAAATAATTATATAATCATACCTGATAATATTAACTGAAATTTTAATAAATTTTAAAATTTATGTAAATATATGTATGTATATGTATATACATATGACAATTCAATTTTTTTTCTGGAGCTTGCATTGCATTTTATATAAAATTCAAGCAGGAAGCAAGCAGCAATATTTCATTCAAAGTTTTGCTTTATTGTACAACAAGGCAATTCATTGTTTTCAACAAAGGATTAAATGTCACATCATTATAATCCAGGACAATAGTTTCACTAAATAACTCATTGACTTTCTATCATTTACTAAGCTAAGCTAACACTTTACAGGAAAGAAAAAAAGGATTTAAGGGGCCTGCCCTGTTACAAAATCTTATGGAGCGCAAACAATATTACTCTCAATGATGCAAACCAAATATAAATATATTCTATTTATAATCATACTAATGTACTCGTTTAATATTTATATTGAATATATTTTGACCAGATGATCATTAGGCACAAATATGAATGGAGATTTATACTATGAATGTCTTATATTTTAATTATGTTTATTTTCTTATATATCAAAAAAATACTAAAATTTTACATAATTAAATTTTGAAAAAATCTTACAAATTCATTTCTTTTTTCAAAAAATTTAAATTATAAAATACATAAAAGTTAAATATGAAATATTTCATAATTTATATAATAGAGAAATATAGATCATAATATTAAATTTTTCCATTCATAGTATCATCCGTCCGTACATTTCTGTAATTGGTATATAATATGGACTAAAAGATATTGCTAAATCTTTAATGTATTATATATCAATCTGTATTCCAATGGCACCTTTTAATATAATGTATATTGCTTTGGATAAAATGTAAACTAAGGTTTTTTTTGTAAATATAAGAAAGAATATACATTTATTCTCAAATTAAAATTTAAAAAATTACCGTTTATATTATGACATGATGCCGCACGAACAATATTCATTACATTTGTTAATAAAGATGAAAAATAACAAAATCACCCTCTTATATTTTTCACATTTAATAGTTATGTATCTAAAAGAACATTTTTCATTTCCTAATATAATTTAACAAAGACAATAAGAATTGTCCAAAACATTATTGTATTGCCTATTTCATTCATTGAATAATGATAATGATTTTAAATTTTATTTCTATTTATATACAAATTAGAATTCTTTACTAAAAAAATCCTACTTCACAAAATTGTAATAACAATTGAAGATGGGTTACATCATAGATCGTTAGGTCGCAAGGAATTAATGTTGGTGTAAGGATTGCTATGATGATGTGGCCTGTGCAGAGTGCTGCTGATGGTGAGAGGACCTACCATGTGACCAGGCCTTGCCCATGTGTAGACATATCCATCTTGACACGCTGTTACAAAGCAATCTTCCCTAAACACTAATTCAGTCAATCTTTCATGTGCCAACTTCTTGCACACCAGTGGTTCTAGCACTGGGCACTCATCAAACCTAGGGCACCAGGCAGTTCCTATCAACCTCATAGGATCGTCCATCACAGAACTAACCTTCTTATTTGGACCTACTAAATTTCCACTGACACTGTTCAAATTACTATTTGTATTTGAGTTAGTGGTAGTTTTATCACTACCACTGTTTTGCATTATTGTGCTATTAGATGCACCACTACCTCTCATAGTGAGGCTAAAGTTCCTTTTATGATTATCACCTTTACGCTCACCAAAGCCAAGCCCTGCTAACCTTTGTGTCAAAGAATTTACAGTTGACACTGCTGTATTTGTACTCATGCTATTATTACTACTTTCATTATTACCACTCGCGTTTTCTTTGCAATTAACATTATTCAAATTATTATGTTTAGAATTGTTCAAGTGGTGATTTGTCGTTGAACCATTCCCACTGTTGATTGTTGCAGATGTAGGAAGAATGCTAGAACCTGCTGCAGATGGCCTTTGCTTTGCACACATTGGTTGTCTCAACACATCTTCTGTAATATCCCACAAACACAACTGAGTATCTTGTGACACACTACCTAACCTGTAGCATGTACCACCTGACACTCTTAATTCTGAACCACAAGAGTTTCTGTTTGAATGAATTCCTTGTGAAGTTGTAGATAAACGATTAGACTTCTCATGATAGTGATTATGATTATTATGTGGTAATGTTTCATCATCTGAACCACTGAAGTCTGGATCATGATCTCCATAAGATGTAGTATAAGGATCAAAAGCTACTACGCTTACCCAACTATGATGGCCTTGACCCCGAGCTACCACTCTTTTTTCATGAAAACTCCAAATTGTCACAAGATCATCTTCACCACCCACAACAACATATCTTCCATCTGGAGACCAACATACACACAAAAATCCACCAAAATAACTTCTAGCTGAACCCACTAACTCCATTGTATTATATTGAAATACTCGTAGGAATCCATCTTGGGAAACAACTGCTAAGTTTGAACCACATGGGCTAAAGGCAAATTCATTTATACAACATCCTTCTGCACCTATTACCCATCTATACAAAGGATTTCTTGTGGATTTTGTTTTACAAGTATATATGGCATAACCATCTCCTGATTTAAAAGATTGATAATGAGGAGCTGTTGTACCACATAAAAGTTCTTCATTATATAAATATAGTTGTCCAGAACTATGTGATACCAAGAACAGATTATTTGATCCAGGAACCCATTTTATACATGTTACTTTGCTTTTGTCTATTAATCTCTGAAACATTAAAAAGGACAATTTATTAAGAAGAAATATTAAAGAAATAATAAATTTAATTTTAAAAAATAATTAAATTCTAGAAAACAAGTTATTGCATTATATTATATTTTAACTATCATTAATCAATATAGCTTAAAATAATTATAAATTAATTACATTATTTAATTATTTATTTTATTTATTTGAATTAACATTATTTAATCAAATCATATGAAATATAAGTAAAATTTAGTAAAATTAAACATTACATAGAATAATTTAAAATATTAATTAAAATATTAACTATGAAATACATATATTATGAAGTAAAAGTTAAACTTTTATACTAACATTTTTATATATCATATTTAAAAAAGTAACAAATTCATATCATAGAAATTTAATAAAATTGTAGCTAGTAACATCTGAAAATATCTTTTTATGATAATGTTTACAATAATAGCAATATATAAAATTATATAACTTATTAATTTATATTTAATAAATATGTTTTTAAAATATATATTTTATAATTTATAATTTATTTTATATATTATATAAATATATTTTATATATTTTTAATCTAAGGATTATATTAGGAATATATAATCTCCTTACATAATCAAAAATTTTAGAGTAAAATATATATCATTTTGATATAATTTGTTACTTTTAACATATCATAAGTTACCTACATCTTCATTATATAATTTGCTAAGTTCTTTTTTTATTGGATCTATCAATTGAATTTGTCCTGTAGAGAAACCAACTAATAATGGTGCACTGTCTGCAGTTGCTGTTGTTTGATTAAAATTATGGCAAGTTGGATTAGTTCCTTTATATAATTTTTTATCCACTGGTTTATTTAAGTCCACAGCCTGAAACATTTTTATA